TAACCCATAGTTTTGTGTATGTTGTGTTTTTATTTTTGTTTCAAGATTTTCTAGAATTTTCCTTGATCATTAATTGTTTTAGAGTAAGTGACTTCTTTAAGTAGCTTCTCAAGCTTTTCTCATTGATTCCTAGTTTTACTCCAATATTACAAAAAAGATACTTGATATGATTTCAATTTTCTAAATTTTTTGAGACTTATTTTGGGACTTATTATACAATCTGTACTAATCTTGGAGAGGGAAGTTCCTCCCATTCATCTCAAAGAGTAGTATTCTGCCAGGGCATTGCCTGATGTTTTGACAGTTCTGAAGATTCCAACTACCAGGTCTGGCTTGGCTAGGGAGGCTTTTGGTTTCTGTCCCAATGGTGGATTTCACTGTGATGGGTCCAGTACTGAGCTCCAAGGCTAGGTCCTATGCAAGGTTTCCTGCCTACAGGTGAGAAGATGGTAGAGTCAATCTCTTGGCCACTTGGCTAAAATAGTTCCAAGGCCCAGTCTGTGGCTGGGTCAGGGGGTCATACCTTTCTGCCTACCACTGTATAATTCACAGTAGTGGGTCTGGCACTGTGCTAGATTTCAAGTCTTAGCCCTGGTTTAATCCCTTTTATTTTCCTCTATTTCTTAATATCACCATCAAGGGGAGATGTCTCTTTTTGTACCTCATTTCTTTCTTCGAGTTGAGGAGGAAATGTTGATGTGAACAACTCATTTCTTCCTGTCTTCTTAACATATCTTTTCTTGCTGTTATACCCAAACCAGGTGCAAGTGAGAGTTGCCCTAAATTCCTATTAATCCCAGGGGCATCTCTCAAACAATGGTTATCAGGAGTTAGTGGAAATATACCTCCACCCTTTTCAGTGGCTGTTGGGATAATGGAGTTATGTCCTACACGGTCTTCCAGTGTGCTGCAGGAGCACTGGCATGAAATTGCCCCAATAGAATAGGTTATTTATTTATCATTTTCCTTCCATTGCCTTGCTTGCTTCCCCAATATCTGCTATACTGATTGTTATATGTTATACTGATTGTTATATTATTTAAATGAAGCATGTGTTCTCATCTTTGCCACAAGTTCTGATTCTGAGGAAATCCAGTTCAAGATAGTTACTATTAATTACCAAGGTTCATCATACAAGCTAAGAGAAGAAAAATAGAATAAATTAAATATAAAAACTAGTTTTGATGGTTGCTGCCTCATTATCCAGGTGCAAGGTCAAAGTTTATCATCCTATCTACCTGTTGTCTCAAAGAATGCACTGTCTTAGGGACATAATCATGAATTCCCTCCCATCGTTAACAGTGGACCCTTGGCATAGAAATACTAAACTCCTAGTGAATATTTCTGATGAGAGATTGCCCTATTGAGAAGTCCATGTTGCCATAGCTATGTAATAATCCCAGTTTCAACTGTCAGGGTCTGAGGAGGAACTGCAGTGGGAAAGAGGAAAAGAAAGTTGTGGAGAGGGAGAAGAAGCTGGTCTCTCTTTACAGCAAAACCCTCTTCACATAGGTATTCAAAGAGGTTTGCCCTTGCGTTCTTTTTTTTTTTTTTTTTTTTTATTTAAAGAAAAGGAAACGAAAAGAAAAAAAAATACATGGAGATAAAAAAAAAAGGGTAGAAATAATACAAAATTACAGACAAACAAAAGGTAAGAAATTGCCGGTTGATAAGTTACGAATTGTCATCTTCGAAATGGGTGTTCAGGTTATAGAATTAAAGTATTTAGAATGACATTCAAAAAAGTGACCCTACAAACCATTCTGCTCTATGATCGAAGCACCTAAAAAGACTTCATCATCCTGTAATGATTTGATTAGTTCTATAATATGCAATAAGTATATAAAGTGGGTGAAGTTAGGGACAACTATTTGTAAGAAGCTAGAGACAGATAAGGAAGCTCTCCAGTGGACTTGCTTTGAAATCTGCCCTTGCGTTCTTGTCCAAACTGCCTAACAAAAACAAGATAAATCAGTATCAACATAGACCTCAAGCCATCTCTTCCTAGAGGCTAAGTGGAAAACTAGCCTGAAGTTCTACCCACCAGAAGGATTCCCTTTATTTCAAAACAGCTGTTGACTACAGCTATAACTTGGTGGCCATTGTTTTAAGTAATCATCCACTTAACTCTTCCCTTTTCTTTAGGAATGTTGTCCAATACTATTAAAAGAGAGCATACAACCCAGAAATCTTTAAAAAATCTCTTTGTCACTCAAATCATTTAATAGCAACCACTTAATTTCTCAAAACCTTGACCTATCGTGAACTTTATTCTTTTCTATAACCAGTGATTATTTTAGTAGCTATGTCAAGTTACCCTACAAATGATACTATCTTCATACATCAATACATAACCTAGTTATGAAATTTTATTGCTACTTCTTAAACTTCTTCCAGGAAGAATTAATATGCTGGTAGGAAAGAGATGATATACTTACACTAGATAATTTGAAGACTGACTGATAAAGGAGCTATTTCTAGTGATATAATCACAAAACTAGTTGACTAATCAACAATAAGTAAGAGGAGTTATTTGGCTTCTATATCACAGTTTCTATATATTCTATCTTAATATAGTATCAGTGCCTTGGAGATAGAATGTAAACTTTCACATTTTCTTCCAGTTGTAGATAATGGTTCCTTAAATAAGCCCAACATCTCAATAACAAAACAAAAGGAGGAAAGATGTTACTACCTAAATATACAACTAAAATACAATTTTAAAATGCATGTAGCAGGCCAGGTGTGGTAGTACATGCCTGTAATCCCAGCACTCAGAAGACTGAGGCAGGAGGATTGTTGTGAGTTCAAGGCCAGCCTGGCCGACAAAATGAGTTCAAGGCCAACCAGATCTTCACAGGAAGACCCTTCCTCAAAAAAAATTTTTTTTGCATGTAGCAAAGAAAAGAAAATAAAGATTAGAGAAGTAAATGAAGCAGAGAAAGGAAAAGCAATAGATAAAATAAAAATAAGTTGGGGTTTTTTGAAAAACCAAAATTGACAATTAGCTAGCTGAATCCACAAAATGATAAAATAAATAATAAAAGTTAGAAATGAAAATAAAATCATTATAAAAGATTTCTCTTTTTTTTTAATTTAAGGAGAAAAAGAGAAAAAAGCAGAAAGGGTACAAATTATACAGAATTTCGGAAAAAAAAATAAACAGAAAATCACTAGTTACTGGATTACATATTGTCATCTTACAAATATTTGTTCAAGTTACAAAATTAAAGCATATAAAGTGGACATTCAAACAGTGAGATTGCAAACAGTTCTGTTCAATGATTCAACAGAACTCAGTAATATCATTGTCTATCTTATACACTTAAATATACATCCAGTTATATCGTTTAGAGCACTTTCTTTTCTCTCTTTTGTACAATGACTGTTACACATTTTGGGTTTTATTACTCCCACGGTTCTTATTACTTTTTTGGAAGAGAGTTAAACCAAATGTGACATAACAGAACAGAGTCGGTCAAATCAAAAGGGTGGACATAATAGATAATGTAAAAACATACTACAAGGTGATCAACAATGGTTACCATAATGCCTCCCACTATCTCAAATAGAATTACCTATATCATCAGTTATAATAAAATTAAACAAAACAGTAAAGAACGAAACCAACAAAACCAAAACATGAGAAACATTACAGGTTTTCAAAAGTAGATAATAGTCAACCAGAGTGGACATCATAATGAATCCCACTATCTTCACAGCTGTTGCCTAAACTTTCAAACCTGGTCTATCAAGCAAAACAGAATAGAGGAACATCAGTCAAAACAAGATGGTGAGAGCAATACAGGGCTTCAAATCAAGTTAATAGAAAATCAAAGTGGGTTACTATAATATATCTTGCTATGTTTTATTTATTTTTCCCTTAATTAAAAGGATAAAAATAAAGTAAATAATAAAATGGAGAATTAAAAAAGATTTCAAAGACATAAGTCAATTATAAAAGACTATTAGCAGTAGTCACATGGTAAAAAAATTGAATAGAAGAATTGGATAATCTTCTAAAACCATGCAACCTATTGAATCATGAAGAAATAAAATATCTGAAAACTTCTACAACTACTAAGTCAGTGAGTCAGTAATCAGAAACTTCCCTCCATAAAAGTCCAAGACAAGATGGCTTTATTATAGGACTTTATTGACCATTTAAACAAGAATTAATAACAATTCTCAAAATTTTTCAAAAGTTGAACAGGAGAGAACATTTTGAAATTCTTAATAATATTACACTTACAAAAAAAAGTCAAAGATGCCACAAGAAAACTATAGACTAAGAACATTGATGTATACAGATGCAAGTATAATCAAAAGTATACTAGTAAATTGAATTCAACAACATATTACAAAAGATTATACACCATGATCGAGATTTATTCCTGTAATGCAAAATAGTGCAACATACATCAATTCTGCCTTACGCTACACCTAGATAGAAATAGATTTTTAAGAAAATGAAGCAAGCTAGTTACAGAATGATTAACTATTATATGATACCAGTTATACAAAGTATATAAAGTAGTCAAAGTTTTCTAAACAGAGATTAGGATAATGGTTACCAGGGTCTGGAGAGAAAGAGGAAAGGAAGCTGTTAAATTGGTAAATGGAGTTGTAAATTGGTAAATGGATACAGAATGTCAATTTTCATGATGAAAACTTTTACATATGTGTTATAAACAACATGAACAGTTAAAACTATTGTACTGTACACCTAAAAATGGCAAAGACAGTGGTTTTTACCAAAAATAATAAAACTATATGATAAACTAATAGTAAGACTGTGATATGAGTATGATTTTAATTATATTTAGAAAAAACTATAAATGTATGTTTTTAACATACATATGTCTAGCCACCACATTTACATATAACTCTCAAAATGTTTATTGTTAATTAAATATATATGTATATTTATAAACTTTATTATCAATTCACAAATACTTTATACATGAAAACTATAAGAAAAAGGCAGGAAAGTGGCTTACGTTGCTGCACCAGAAGTACTGTTTTGAGAGTGTGGAAGCTGTGGTGATCCTGTTGCAAAGCCCAAAGCATAACCTAGTATTGCTGCAGCATCTGAAATGCCTACAAAATGAATACCAAGCATGAAGCACCTTCTCAAGACAGCATTGTTACAGATGATAAAATTATTTAACTTAAGTAGATTATTTTGAAGAGCTTTTCATAGCATGATGTATTAACGTTCTCCAGAGAAACAGCAGGTACTTTCACACAGGAGAAAAAAAGAAAGGAGGAAGTAAGGGAGATGAGAGCGAGAGACATTTTAAAGGGTTGATTCATGCAGTTACTGGGCCTAACAACTCCAGGGTACATTAGCAGGCTAGAAATCGAAGCAAGGCTTGAGGGAGAATAGCTTCTTATAGGAGAAACCTTGGTCTCTGCAGTTAAAGCCTTAAGTTAACTGGATGAAACCCAATGGAACGACATTACCTATTTTATGCAAAGTTGACTAACTGCAAATGTTAAACAATATCAGTAGAGAAATATCCAGGGTTTGACCAAAGAGCAGGGTGCTGTACTTTAGATATGTTGGCACATTGAATTAATCATCACACATATTATCTAATAAAGATTAGAGAAACTCAGGTAATTTTATTATATAATTCATTATACCCTATTTAATCTGTGTATTTATGATGACATCAATATATTTATGTTTAACGTGAGTGCAATAGTCCATGTCTCCCCTAACATTGAACTACATAAGAATATGATACTTTTGCACTATCACCTTTGCATATTTAGCCTTTACTGCTAAGGTGGTAAGCAGTGATTATACCAGTGGGCCTCTCTCTGTGTCATGGAGTTATGTGTTTCAATTGCTCTCAGTAGAATTAAAAGTAAAAGAAAGAAACTTTGTGTCATTTTTGTCTAATAGTTCTAATGAATTCCTGAAAACATTTTTATAAAAGTGAATTTAATTATGAATATCCTTTATGTTACTTTACTGACAAGAATTTTCATATAGATGGTAGAAAATGATTATTTCATTGCAAAATAGTTCACTTTTAAATCATCTAATACTAAGTATATAAAAACAATTTATTTTTTTTTCAAAATTATACTTAAGTAACTGTATAAAAATTGGTGATGTACTAGGACCAAAATCTATCAATCTACAGCAAAAAAGATAAATTATGCAGGGAAATATCTAGAATAATTTTTGTAGATACAGTAGCAAAAGACATTGTAAACAAGAGAGACTTCATTACATTTAATTAAATAGCATACCGATATCCCTCTTTCAAGAAGTTTGCAATTAGCTTAAGAATATTACATGCTTCAAAAAGACTGAGATAATATGTGTAAAGAGATTTGAAAGTGATGGTTACTTCAGGATCACAATGAATCCAGCACATAAGGAGCTGTATAACAGTGTCCTATCCCCTAACAGATTCAAGGCAGTAGTGATGGTCTGCACACCCAAAGTTTAAAAATATAACTACTCAACCTCTTGAAGTCAACAACTGTAAGTATTTCTCTAGAGAAAAGAACTGTATAACATGACATGAGTATATGACTCTAAACATACATATATAAAAGAATACATACATACATATATATGCACGTATATACAATATACTCATATACACATACATGTACCCATATGTACATATATGTCTATTTGCAGGATATTCTCAATACCTAAAAGAGTATTTTTCCTATTGTTCTATATATTCTCAGTGGCATTCATATGAATGTCAGATAACTTCTGTAGAATTCCAAATTTCAATAACATATTCAGGGGATCAGGTGTGATTGATGTTTGTTTCTTTGTTTTAGTGTTGCTGAGGATCAAACTCAAGAGCTTCATGCACACTCTGTAAGCATTCTACACAGTCTAGATTTGATGTGTGCCCTTAATCTTCATTGCGATTTTGCAGGTAAATAGCTAACTTATGCATTTACAATGTTATCACAGGGCCAGTAGTTAGTACACTGTATCTGTTAAAATATACATACCAAATTATAGAATAGGTGAAAATTCAAAATAGATAAATCACATTAGCAAGAAAAGAACTTGCCTAAATAGATGCCAGATGAGTGTGTGGGAACACTGTCATCAAGAAAGGTAATCCCAAGAATATAAAGAGGCATTCCTGCAATTCCCTGAACTATCTGTCCAAGAGTGAAGAAAGTTACATAGCTTGCTTTGAATGATGACTTGCTTCTCACCAAGGAATTGAAAGACTTTGTTGCACTGCAAATATCTTTTGAAAAGATAACAGTTTTAATTTTGTTAATGACATTAAAAATTAAAAGTACAATATGCACTAGTTTTTATCAAATATCTTTCTTCTACAAGCTATTGCCACTATGATGCTATGTTGTCTCTTAGGTACTTCATTTGTTTAATTTGTCAAACGTATTCTCAGAAAAATACCATTATACGATAATATTTATGAAACTATTGGAAGAGATGCATTATATACTATTATAAACTATTATAAATCCATAACATGGTCACATACACACTCATTTTGCTAACCTTTATTGTTTTCAGACAGGATCTTCTCTCTAGCCCAGCCTGACCTCAAATTCTAGATCTTCTTCCCTTTGTCTCCCAAGTAGCTAGGAATACATGCACCACTGCACCTGGCCTCCATTTCCTCTTAATTTGGTATTCAATTGCTCTAACTTTTGCCTCTAAAATAAAAGTATTTCTAATGTTCTGGATTTTCTCAATTATCAAAACTTACCCTTTGCATTTAATTCTATGTCCATTTCTTTAGCAATCTTTACAGTAAATTTGTGTCACTCTGAATTAAATAATTTTCCATTTTAGACCCACTAAATTCTAGACCACAGGATCACAAGGGCAAAGCATTACACAATAAAAATTTCTTTCTGCTAAAGTTAGTGGTTATATGAACATCCAGCTATCACATTCTAAAATTCTTTAGGTTGCAGGATCCTTCTTACACCTTTTATTCACATGGCTATGGAACAGTAATAAACAAATGTTTGTGCAGTAGCATTTATTACTATATGGACAGGTCTAGGAGATCACAGTTAGATCATACTGATTGTGGGTTTGGGGTAAAATTGTAAAAATATTCTTCCAATATTATTGTGGAAAATCTAGTGAAGTACAGATTGCAACTTAGTACACCAGTGGAAGTTTTCATCTGGATTGGTTTCCATGGAATAATATTTGACTCTAAAACAAGTGAAAGGAGACTTCTAGAATTGTGGGTAAAACAGTGGTTGTTCATTTTATACAGACATTTTGACTCGTAGTGATATTAGTGATACATCCAACATTCTGCTCCCTTAGTTCTTTGAGTGCCCCCTTTTATTAATATATGTTCGGAGACAAAATAAATACATTCACCAGGGAAATTCTTTTCTTCTCATTCTCTATACCCCATCTCTGTTACCTGCTCACTTTAAATGTAAACTATATGACACAGCTTCCCAAATTGGAATTTCTACCCATCCACACTCACTCTAGTTAGTAACCCAGTTCAAATAATACCTAAAATTTACAGGGCCCAATTATCATATAATAATTCTTTTCACTATCCCAATGTCCTCTGTCATTACTTCTGTAATTTATCACCTTTTTTGCATTATTTTGCTTTTTTCCCATATAATTTAACCTCCTAATAAAATCACAACCATACTCAAATTATTTCTTTAAAGCTGATTGTAGCTGAGAAAAAAACACAACCACTAAAATCATACTGTGAATACAAATTCAAGGAGATCCTTTATGTTCCTGGTTATCATAAAAAGTGCTTCTAGTTTGCTAATTTCACTTATCCTAGAAAATTCAACTTGTTTAGATCCTTTCTCCTAGAAACGACAGTCCTAAACTTCCTGTTCATTGACATCTGAAAAAAGAAACAATATTTTTAAATCAATAAAGATAATTTTTGTATCTTTATTCACACTAAAAATAACTTTGATTTCAACTAAAATTATATAGTTACTATGAATGCCAAGCAAAACAGGAGAGAATTCAAGTAGAAAGGAATAATCTTAAAAAATCTGACATAAAACTTCAAAAGAAAAAGAATAAAGAAAACAAACATTAGGCAACAAGAATTAGGTTTGTGACTTCATAAAAAGAATTTTGTTGCACCACAGTGGACTGAACAAAAACAGGAGATAAAATCAATAACCATGAACAATTCCTTCAAAAAATTTGCCTGTGAGGAGGTTGCAAGAGTAATAAAAAATAATACTGACAGTTATGTCAAGTATTGCAGCCATTGTTTAAGAATGGGGAAAAATCTGAGCACATTTGAGTGTCATAAAGGAAAACTGATGGAGAATAAGGATTTTCAGAAAGAGGGCAAGGAGATCACTAATGGAACAAATTCTCCAAAAGACAAGGAAGCACAGAATGCTTAGCCAGAGGAATCACTTCCATTTTAACAGGAAGGAAAAAGTAAAGAACACTAGCATGCCAATGTAGGTGGAATTAAAAACTATGTTTAAAAATTAAAGCAACATTATTTTATGTCATGAACTTTTCATCCAGTGCAGAAGAGTTAAGTGAAGAAAGTTTAAACTCCTTGACTATTATGGAACAGAGAATTTACCAAAAAAAATGTTTAGGTAAAAGATTACTTTGAGAGCAAAATTATCAACTGAAGTTCACAGCCACAAATTTACTGTACGAATCATCACCTGTCCAATTGTAGATAAAAGAAAGTGGATAGTTTGGTCAAAAGGTTCACAGACAGAAAAACAGCAGTGAGACAAGATAAAGGGATCCATGCAAGCATACATAGAAGACAAAAGGAAATACCAAAGTTCTCAAATTCATACCATATATGAAAACCCATAAAGAAGAGATACATTTACAGAGTAATTATTGCAAAATATCCTTTCTTTTACTCCCTTGGTCCTTATGAACAAGCCATATATATTCACTAAGTGCAACAGTTAATAAACTTGGTTATATAAATGGTAGACAGGTATCACAGAGTGTTTCAAATTTCTTGAGCCAATGGTTTAAGTGAAAATTCATTTGATGTGCCATAGAATATTTGAAAAATCTTACCTTCAATTTTTGCCTCTGATTCAAAATGCTTAACACTGAAGTATGGAAAAGCAAGTAAAAGTGATCCAAATCCTACCAAAAAGGAGGAAAGTGCAATCCACTTTACTCTGTTTCCGCTCCCTCCATAGTATGCTATAAATAGTGCTACTAGGCAAGAAGATATATCATAAGTGAGTGTCAGTGCCAAATGCTCAATATTTGTCACTGTATGTTCTTGTTGCAAATCATTATTGCTCACATCAATAATACCAAGCACAATACCTACAAGTAAAAAGAAAAAAGAAAGACAATAGTAATATGTATCTTGGAGACAAAATATATTATCATTATAATTATTTTGAAGCAAGCCTTAACTTAAAACTAATTTAATTTTATTTCTCATTATTCTAAATGTTTACAACCTATAAACACAATGATTTCATGAGTCCTTTTCTAAAGCATGAATAGATTTTAACCTCTATGAAATATTTGCTAATTAAGTTTTTGAAGTTATTTTTAACAAACTGTATGAGTAATTTAATGAAGAATTTTAAAATGTTTTTTAGTATCACATGTTTGTAGTACATGATGTTTATATTCCTTGTGGGGAGTTGGTACAGTTACATAATACATTTTAATTTCTTTTAAATTTTTATTTGAAAAATGATAAAGCCAAGGAAAATAAAACAGAGTAAAACCAATAAAAAATAAACCAGCTTAAGTGATACAGGACTTCAAAACCTTATGAAACCAATAATAGTTACCATATTGCCTTTTATTGTCTTCAAATTAGCTGCAGACAGAAATAGTAAAAATTGAACAGAATAGAAACAATAAAACCAAAATAGTGAATGTGCTAAAGAACTTCAAAACAGGCCACTGGTAAGTAAAAACTAGCTATCATAATATGTCTTATTATCTTTCAAATAGCTGCTCCTGTCATCAGATTTAACATAATTAAACAAGACAAATGAGAATAAAACCCAACCCAACAAAATAATGAAGATGATATGGTTTCCCTGTCAGGATGGCTCCCCTGCAATCTGGGAATGGTGCTGACTGGAGAGGCTTGGGTGTGGCTGTCAGGCAACAGCCAGCACATGGATTAATTCCTTTTTTAATCCTCTTTCCCTACATTCCCTCTGCTGGCTTTCACTCATCTCTTTATCTCCTTCCTTTTTGTTTTTGTACATGTTTGTATTGCAAAATGTTCAACTTACTTGTGTGGGGTTGGCACATGCACATAACACATTCTTTTTTCTTAATTTCTTTCTTTCATCCTGGTCCCATCCTATCTTCCATCTCTTCCCCTTTGAAAAAGATGTATCTCCCTACTTTCTAGTATCTATCTTTTGTTTTGTTCTTTATTTATATTTTGTGTTTCTCATAAAAGAGAAAACAATGCAATATTTAAACTTGTATATCTGATTTATTTCACTTAACATTATGATTTAAAGGTGCAGGAGAGGTTTGGGGAAAAGAAACCTTTCAACACTGTTGGCGGGAAAGTAAACTAGTACAAGTACTATGGAAATTAGTGTGAAGATTCCTCAAAAGCCTGAAACTAGGAATTCCATTTGTCCCAGCTATTCCCTTTCTAGGTATCTTCCTAGAAGAGTTAAAGACATCCTAGTACAGTGATACAAGCATATTCACTGAAATGGTTGATACATTGTATCAATCTGAGAAGTTTAGAATGTTAATTATGCAACTCAGAAGAGGGCCAGAGTCTTCTCTTTGCAAACATCTTGGTCCTGTTTAAGTGGAGACAGAGATGGTGTGAGTACTACACCCATCCAAGGGCAGGTATTCTGTTTACAATATAAGGGAGAAAAAGAGGTCTCCCCATTTTTGCTCTTGTTCCTTTTGCTGTCTTCTGGCACCTTGAAGTGTCGCTCCTCTTTCATGTCACCCTGCTTTGGAGCCAATTGATTATGGACTGAAATCTTCACAAACTGCGAGCTGGATAAATCTTTCTTTCCTTAATTTTGAATGTTGGGTATTTTGTCTCAGCAATGAGAGAAAAGTAACCAAGACAGAATTTGGTACCAGAGAAGTAGGGTCATTACTTTGTCTATACTTGACCATGTGGTTCAAGAACTTTTGCGAATGGCTTATGGAAAGAATTTGGAAAGATGTCACCTGAAGTAACAGTGCTGAAACACCTTATGATGTTCTGTATGAGAGATTCTGGTCATACTCAGAAGATCAGTGGTTGATAAAAATCTGGCAGATAAAGACTAAGTTCAGGAGTTTTCTGCTAAGAAGAAGTATTACACTGGGTGCTGGGCTTCAGACAATATGTTATAGTTTGGTAGAAAGTTTGTCTGCATTTTGTCCATGCCAAGATTTCATCTAAGACTAAGATTAAGGATGTGGGCTAATTAAACTAGCAGAAGAAATTTCAAGGCAGTTGAATGTTGAAGTGGTGACATGGTTATTGTTATGGGCTTCTATCCAAATTTATAGTGAGAATCAAAAGCAAAGAGCCCATCAGGATGATTTAAAATGTTGTAAATTTGGCCAAAAGAAAAGCTCCAGCTGGCCATAGGTCTGCAGAGGAGGAGCTGGGCAGATCTGGGGTGCCCTCACCGGCCTCTCTGCGTGTCTGGAGGACTCTGGATATCTCTGCAACCAGGGAGGGTCCACAGGTTCCTGAACCACTGCGGCCTGTGGTGAGTACCCTAAACCGGCTGCGATTGAAGAACTGTGGAGCTTCCAAGGGGCAGGTGGGCGCACAGTGTCCCTGAGGCCCAGCTTGTCTGGAACTGCGGAGTTCTGAGCAGGCAGAGGAGGGCCACTGGTTCTGTAGGCCCAATGGCTTGGGGTAGCGCGGTGCCAGAGTCTCAGTAGCTCCAAACATAGAAGGGGATTTTCAACAGATCCTGAGGAAGCTTTCAAATAACACTTGAAACAGAAATATAGGAAAATGACAAAACGAAAGACCAAATTACAACCTCAAACCTCCAGCCCATCTCAAGAAACCCTAGGAGCGATGTATATAGAAGAAAATATATCCCATCCACCTCATATATCGGACACAATAGCCACTGAAATTGACAAGCAACTCCAGGAAGCTTTAAAGAAATTCAAACTCGAAATAATCTCCCAGATAAAAGAAGAAATGATAAAAGAAATGAAAGAGATTCTAAATATATCTAAAGAAAACACAGATAAAAAATTGGAGGAACTAAACAAAAAGATAGAATCCCTAGATGAGCAATATAAGAAACAAACAGAATACATAATGCAGATGCACAGAGATATACAGGAAATAAAAAACTCCACTGAAAGTTGTAAAAACCGCCTTAATGAAAGTGAAGATAGAATTTCAGACCTTGAAGACAGGATTGCAGCTAGTGAACAGGAAAGGAAAGATCTTTTGAAAATAACAAGGAATCAGGAAACAACAATTCAACAACTGCAAGACGATGCAAAGAAGAATAACATAAGAATGATAGGGATTAATGAAAGAGAGGGAGACAACATGAAGGATGTCAGGAGGATATTTAGAGAAGTAATAGCTGAAAATTTCCCAAGCATGAGATCAGAAACTGACATCAGGATCAGTGAAGCATATAGAACTCCAAACAGTCATAACCAAAATAAAACTACACCCAGACATATAATAATCACCATCCCAGAAATCCAACACAAGAATAGATTATTAAAAGCTGTCAGAGAGACAAGACAGATCACTTATAAAGGAAAACCTATCAGAATCACAGCAGACTTCTCAGCACCAAATGATAAAGTCAAGAAGAGCATGGAGTGAAGTATTCCAGATCCTAAAGCAAAATGATTTCCAACCGAGACTGATATATCCTGCAAAACTATCATTCAAAATAGATGGTGCAATACGATACTTCCATGACAAAGAACAGCTGAAGAACTTCATGAACACCAAACCAACCCTGCAAAAAATATTGAAAGACAGTTTAGATACACAAAGGAAAAAACCACTAAGCAAAGCAAATAATTAAACAGAACAGAAAGATAAAGATGCAACAGCGGGGGGCTGGGGATTTAGCCCAGCGGCATAAGCGCCTGCCTTGCAAGCAGGTGGTCGTGAGTTCGATCCCCGGTACCGGCAAAAATGAAAAAGACAAAAAAAAAAAAAAAAAAAAGAAAGATGCAACAGCAGAGAGATAACATTCCTACAATTAACCAGCATTTAACAGTAATAACCATTAATGTAAATGGTCTCAATGCACCAATCAAAAGAAACAGACTAGCAGAATGGATCAAGAAACAAAATCCAACCATATGCTGTTTACAGGAAACCCATCTAACCCAGAAGGATACTCACAGACTGAAAGTCAAAGGATGGAAAACAATTCTCCATGCAGCAGGAATCCAACAAAACGCAGGAGTAGCCATTCTGTTTGCAGACAACGTGAACTTTAAACCAACAATGACCATAAAGGACAAAGAAGGTCACTAGATACTCGTAAGGGGAAAACTCCAAGAGGAAGAGATAACTATCTTAAATATATATGCACCAAACTCCAGAGCACCCAGTTATATAAAACAATTATTAACAGAAATGAAAACTCAAATTATCAGTAACACAATTGTAACAGGAGACCTTAATACACCACTGACACCAAGGGACAGATCAACCAGACAGAAAATGAGCAAAGAAATAACAGAACTGAATCACACCTGTGAACAAATGGGTTTGATAGACATATACAGAATGTTCCACCCAACAACATCAGAATACACATTCTTCTCAGCAGTACATGGATCATTTTCTAAAATAGACCATATATTAGCTCACAGAACATATTTAAGCAAATGCAAAAAAGTTGAAATCATCCCTTGCATATTATCGGATCATAGCGCTCTGAAATTAGAAATTAATGACAAAGGATACTGCAAAAATTCCACAAACACATGGAAACTAAATAACACACTCTTGAGTAATCAGTGGGTCACAGAAGAAATTAAAGAAGAAATTAAACAATACCTAAAAGAAAATGAAAATGCAGATACAACTTACCGGAATCTGTGGGATGCAATGAAAGCCATTCTGAGAGGAAAATTTATTGCACTGAGTTCCCACATCAGGAAAACAGAACGAATACAAATAAATAACTTGATGCTACACCTCAAACAGCTAGAAAAAGAAGAGCAAGTCAAGCCCAAAGCCAAAAGAAGAGAGGAAATTATAAAAATCAGAGCAGAAATCAATGCAATAGAGACTAAGAAAACAATCCAAAGAATCAACGAATCAAAGAGTTGGTTCTTTGAAAGAATAAATAAAATCGATAAGCCCC